TATCCATACTGGTCTGTTGAGTTCTCAGCGAGATCGCATTTTCCTTAAATGTAAAGATTTCTTGGCCTTCATCAGCACTTTTACATTTTACAAAAATCCCTTGTGAAAAAAAGGTGAAAGGATTGAAGGGCAAAATGGAACTGCTGGAGGGCTGGTGTAGGCACGGAGGCCAGAGTGTTCAGATTTGGAATTGGGTGGTGACAGACCAGGCGAAGAGCAGTGGCCAGGCTCAAGGTGTATTGTCCAGGTAGAACTGACAGGATTTGGTGGTGGATTGAAAGTGAGACGTGAGAAGGGAGAAGAATCAATGACTCAACAGGTTTTAGGTGCCATCTAAGGGGCTGGGGGTGGCAGAGAGGAGACTTGCCAGGGGACGTCAAGGGCTTGGTTGTATTAATATTGAAGTGATGTGAGATTTTCAAGAGGAAATTTCAAAGAGGAAATTACTGGTATTTGGGTCAGGGATTCAGAAGAGAGATCTGAGCTAGAGATAGACCTCTGGGGATTATTTATGTAGAGATGGAGGGCTGTGAAAGCCATAGGGATGGATGAGCTTTACCAGGGAGAGAACATGAAATGGGAGCGAAGCAGCGTCTTTCTCAGTCAGTGGTGCTGGGTTTCCTTTCCTGTTCCTTTAGGAAAATCAGCGGGCATCACGGGGCCCGCCATGTCAGGGTATTTGTGCAGCTCTGCAGTGTAAACCCTGACAGTTCGTTTTTCTTAAGTGCCTAACTTAAGCTTTGATTGCCTGTATGGCATCCACTTCAAAGAGGTCTATCTGGAGTAAACACATTTCCAGCCTCACAACTAGATAAAGAGCCGGGCCTCCTTGCCTGACTGAGGCTCCTTTGTTTTAGAGATCTTGGTTGATTTCAGTAAACGACCTCCTGGGCCACTTGCTTTTTCTATTCCTGTGCTTAGATTTCCTGCTCTTATGTTTTAAATTCATCAATAGTGAGCCCACAAAACCCTAGACCTCCACCCTCAACCCCAATAAAGGCAGAACCCCAGGCCTGCTCTCTCTCTCTGTCTCTTTCTTTTTCCCTCCTGGCGACCTCGCTGTGTGTCCCCAGGTATGTTGTGTCATTTCCGGGTTGTATATGTAAGAAATCTTTATTTTTTCCAAAGTTTCTTGATAGTTATGCTGAAGAGCATCCTGCAATCAAAATAAGAACCACAAGGACTGGTCTAACCACAACATTGCTTATTGATAGGCTGTCATCACAAAAAAGATCTGCAAATTTGGTTATGAAGTCTCCCAGTGAGATTGTGAATGAGCAAGTTGCAAATATACAATTTGCCATATCCTTCCTCCATCCTCCTTTCTCTTAATCACAGTGCCTAGTCAGTACTAAGCAGGCCCTCAGCACATACCCAGTTGAGTTTAAAAACTGATGCTAATGAAGTCAAGGTATTATACTGAACTGCTTAATTCATGGGCACAACTTGCCTTGGCCAGTCACCTCCTAGAGATGGGTGATCTGAGAGCAGAATTGTTGGTTTGGTGCAGAGAGAGGACCAAGATACCATGTATGATTGGAAGCAACTGGCTCCATTACTGGACAGTCAGTCTGAGAGCACACGCTCTGTGATCATCACCGTATCGTCTTTAGATCCTGGACACTGATCTAAGTCTGTAAAGGCTACTCACTCCAGGGTGTCGTTCCTGAAAGGGTAGGTGTAGTTTCCACTGCCTGTGTCACAGAAGGGGCCGCTGAGCAGACCCAGTGAAGAAATGACCACACAATACACAGCCCCCATAGTGCCCAGTATGGCCAAGAGCACAGGAAGCAGCATCTGCAATGGAACAGAACCAGAAAGTCAGAGCGGCTGAAAGGGTAAATCTTCTCTTACAGATGCCAGACCAGGTAGGCATCCTTGTTTTGCTTCCTAAATGCACAAAAAAATGGGGTACTAGAGCTGAGAAGACCTCTGTCCATTTATCTGCTCCATTTGCAATTCTAAAGAATGAAATCACCTGCTACAAGACTGTGAGCGGGAAATGTGACTTACTCACCGTTGGGCTCCCAGTGCCTAACCGCTGCCTGGCACGTGATGTAAGTGTGCTCACAGCCCCCCGTCTGCACTCACAGCAGACATCAATGATTGATCTCAGCACTCTTGCCCTGGGAGAGAAAGCCTCACAGTCCTTCTCAAAACAGAGCAACCGATCAGCTGGGGTTGGCTCTGTGTGAAACCTAAATGAAACTCATTCGGCATCCTGGTGGTATTTGTTGTATGATTGGGTGAGTAAATGAATAATCATTTTTCTAATACCTGAGTCAGTGACCAACACAGGGCCCTGTACTGTGTACAAACTCCATAAATGTGTGCACTGGATGGATGAGGGAGCATCACAGCAAGGCAAGTGTCAGGGAAAGGCGACCTTCTGGCACGTTAGCATATTCAGCTGGGGCAAAGCTGATGGACTTGTTTGCTTCAAAGCATGAGCTTTTATTCCTGACACGTCCATGTTGTGTCTTTCTTACCACAGGAAGTGAGGGAGGGGAACGGCCGGGGCTGGGTGGAATGACTCAGGGAGCTCCTTGGAGATGGTCCTCAGATGACGGTGGGGGCTAAGTTCTCCCTGGAGGGTCTGATTGGGGGCTGCAAGGATTGGGAGAGGGGACTTTGGGAGCAGAAAATAGAAGTGAGACAGTGATGAACTAGAAGTATAAGAGCAGTGAACAGCTTGCTGTGAGCAGGGACATTGGGAAGCAGTTGTGTATGTGGGAAAGAGCACAATCGTGGGGGTTGGGAGACCAAGACGAGCCCGGGCTCGGTCAGCCTTCACTGGGTGTGTCCTGACACCCAGCTGTGTGTCAGGCATCTGCGTGGGGCATGGAGGCGGGTACATAGATGATAACATGTGAACCTCACCTTGAAGAAAGGAGCTTACACTGTATCTGGGTTGGGTAAGTAATCCCAAGTGTGCTTCCCAGATCTAAAATCACAGCCATGCGAATCTGGCCAGGCCACTCAGCCTCTCTGGTCTTTTCCTTTCCTGTTGGTCAAATGGGGACATGTTTGTAAAATTGTGGCAACATTTCCTCTGGTTTCAACCAGCCATGTTGCTTCTGAAAGAGCAGTGATATAAGAGGGCCATGGGTCAGGAACCAGACGTACATAATGGATGCACTTAGAGAGGGTCAGCCTTCTGTTCTTCACGGGGCCATTGTAAGAGAGCATCTGTGAAAGAGGGTTTTTTAATTTAAAAATTTTTAAATTAAAGTATAGGTGACTTAAAATGTTGTTTTAGTTTCAGGTGTACAGCTAAGTGATTCAATTATATATATGTGCGTGTGTGTATATGTGTATATATATATACACATATACATATATGTTCTTTTTTAATATTCTTTTCTGTTATGATTTATTATAGGATATTGAATATAGTTCCCTGTGCTATACAGTAGGACCTTGTTGTTTATCTATTTTATATGTAGGAGTTCGTATCTGCTAATCCCAAACTCCCAGTTTATCCCTCCCCCATCCACTTTTCCCTTTGGTAACCATAAGGTTGTTTTCTATGTCCATGAGTCTGGTTCTATTTCTTAAATAAGTTCATTTGTCTTATTTTTTTTTTAGATTTCACATATAAGTGATATCATATGGTATTTTTCTTTCTCTTTCTGCCTTACTTCACTTAGAATGACCATCTCCAGGTCCATCCATGTTGCTGCAGATGGCACTATTTCATTCGTTTCTATGGCTGAGTAGAATACTATTGTGTAAATAGACCACAACTTCTTTATCCAGTCCTCTGCTGATGGACATTTAGGTTGTTTCCATGTCTTTGCTGTTATAAATAGTGCTGCTATGAACATTGGGGTACATGTGTCTTTTCAAATTAGAATTTTTGTCTCTTATAGATATACGTCCAGGAGTAGGATTGCTAAATCATATGGTAACTTTATTTTTAGTTTTTTAAGGAACCTCCATACTGTTCTTCATAGTGGCTGCACCAATTTACATTCCCACCAACAGTGTAGGAGGCCTCCCTTTTCTGTGAAAGTGTTTTTGAGAATACAAACTCCCTTCAGTGTCCCTTCTCGCTCAAATCCCAGTTCTGTGATGTGTTATTCCACGGGCTACTAGGGGAATAAGAAACTCAAAGGATGGAGGGTCCTAGACTTCCCACAGACAGACAGACAGACAGACAGACAGACAGACAGAAATAACCAACCAAACCCCACAGGCTGGTCTACCAGAGCTCACAGGCTATGTGTATAAATGGCTCCCTTCACACCCTCTCCAGGCTCAATTTTCCTGGGATCTCATGCAACAGTCCCCATCGCTGTTGACAAGAGCCCTGAATGATATTGCTGTGCTTTAGAAGGAAGGTATTAGCCACTTAGATGTGCAGTCTACAAAAATAATGCAAGTGAATGTATATGCAAAACAGAAGTAGCCTCACAGATATAGACAACAAACTTGTGGTTCTCAAATGGGAGAAGGGATGGGGAGGGACAAATTAGAGGTATGGGATTGAAAGAAACAAACTGCTATATATAAAATAGACAAACAAGAAGAGTATACTGTGTAACATGGGGAATTAACGCCCATTAGCTTGTCATAACCTGTAGTGGAATATAATGTGCAGAAATGCTGAATCACTATGCTCTGACCTGAACTAGCACAATGTTGTAAATCAACTATACTTCAATAAAAATAAATAGATAAAAGGAGGGTATTAGAAGTCCTGAACTATAGTCAGTGGGTTAACAGTCTAGCCTTTAGAAGAGAGAAAGCTCACAGCCTAGGAAATAAGCCCTTCTGGGCTGTGGGTGGAAGGCTAAACATTTCTGTAGACCCCACGGTACTTACCCCGTGTCTGTGAGCCCAGCAGCCCTCTCCACCCGCTCTCAGCAGCATTACTGCCGGCACCATAACCTGTGGCAAAGGAAATGCTCTTGAAATGAAGGGAATGTTACCTTTTTGGAACAAAGTTCCGAAACTCTAGCTATTTGAAAACGTCTAAGGATCCTCATTGCTTGTAGGATACAACACAAACCTCGGACATCGTACCTGCTCCTGACCTGCCTCCAGAGCCTCCTCTCTCCTCCGTCGAGACTCTTGACACACCCGCTAGTGGGCTCCCATGAAACACCGGGACTTCCCTGCCTCTGCACCTTTGAGTATGCCCTTCACCCTTCGCCATCAGGTAAACTCCTATTCACCCTCAAATGGCCAGTTCAGAGGTTATCTTCTGTGGGAGGCTGAACAAGAGGACCCCCAAAGATACATTCACTTCCTAATCCCAGTACTGGTTGGTGTGACCTTATAGGACAAAAGATGTGACTGAGCTGGGATCTTAACAGGAGGCGTTATCTTGGACTATCCGGGTGGACCCTAAAGGCAATTACATGTATCCTTGTAAGAGAGACGCAGGAGTTCTGAGAGACACAGGGGAGAAGGCGATGTAGAGACAGAGGCAGAGATTGGAGTGATGTCTTTATAAGCCAAAGAATGCCAACAGCCACCAGAAGCTGGAAGAGGCAAGGAATGATTTTCCCCTACAGCCCAGAACAGAGAGCCCTGCCAGCACATTCAGTGAGAGCTTCTGGCCTCCAGAGCTATAAAAGAATACATTTCTCATGTTTTAAGCCATCAGATTTGTGGTAATTTGTTATAGCAGCTACAGGAGACCAGTACATCTCCTCTTTGTAGTGTTCAGTGACCCCTGCCCCAGCAAAACAAATGGTTCCTTCCTTCCTGCCTGCCCATCCTGCTGCACCGAGCAGACCCATTCTCCTCCCACTGCTGGGTTCTGAGCTCTGGGTCAGCAGCTCTTACCACAGTGTCCAGTGAGGAATCAGGACCCAGGGACATGGTGGTGCAATTTGTGATGACATTTCCCCATACTGCTTCTGGCACTGTGAGGTGGCAGGAAGATGGGGGGCATGATAGGGGCATGGGTCAAGAACAAGAAATAATACAGAATGGATGAACTTTATGAAAAAAAATCATCTCACCCTGAGCGATGATTGGTAAATGTATTTGCTGATGCAAGCATCTGGGGCATCCTTGCTTCTCACCAAGGCGACCTCGACATACCCTGGGGAATGTGTGATTGGGATGTGGTTGACGTTAAAGGTGATTGTTGCCTACCCAAATGTACTCTTTCACCTGGTTGTCTAAGGTAGGGGTGGGGATTGCCAACGCACATGCCTTTAGAGGCCAGGCAGGTAATTTTAAGTAAGAAAACGTGTCCTGGTATAACGCCACAGAGAGTGTGGTGGGACCCGGAGAACTGGAAGATGTATACCCCCCCAAAGGCATCCAATTCACTGTAAAGCAAAACAGACTTGGTGCAAAGCAAACTTCAGCCAGCTCCCAGCTGGTTTGCAGACTTTACAAAGCCTCACTGGGGGCTGGGGTGGTGACATGGCACCTAGTAAAGGGAGAACTCAGTTTTAGGATTTGGCGGTGGGTGTCCAGTGTGCTGGGGAAGAGTGTGCTGGGCATGCCTTATTATCAGCTCTCTCTCTTTAGCGGGAATGGGTCGATTCCATCACACTAGGTTCCAAGGTGCTTAGGCTTCCCTTGCTCCAGCTCTCTTACGACCCACTGAAAGCTTCATTTGCTTCCTAGCACTCACCAGCTGACATCATGTCCCACAGTTGATTGTTTACGATTTTTCTCTTCTCCACTGGAATGTAAGCCCTAGGAGAGTATGAGCTTGGTTTGTTTTTTCACTGCTGGGTCGCTGATGATGCCCAGAACAGTGCTAGCTCATAGCAGGTGCTCACTGAGTATTTGTGGGTGAATTACTCAGGGGTGAGGAGCTGGCTCGTCAGCGTGGTCCACAAGGTCCTACACAGCGTAGCCTCCATCTGCAGGTCAGCACTGTTTCCTATCATTTCTTCCCTTAAGTAGCCCTTGCTCCAGCCACACCACGCTGCACGGTTTCTGGGAAGGCATCTTACTCTGTGATGTTCCTCTGCCTTTACACAAACCGCATTCTTTGCCTGGAACAGCCTCCTCCCTTCTCTGCCTGGCAAATGCCTACTAGTTCTGTGCAGGACAGCTCAGCTAGCTGCTTCTCTGGGATGCCTCTCTTGGATCCCAAGGGTAGGGTTAGTTGTTTCCTCTTCTGCAGACCCTAGGCCACCCCTGCAGCGGGGACTCACTCCACTGAGCTGAATTATTTGTGTGTGTGTGTATCTCCCTTGGTCTGAAGGAGCACAGGAGCTAGGGACTGCAGGCTCGTGCAGATCTCTCCCTAGTGCAGCCCTCCAGTCAGGTCCCGGCGTGACTGCAGACCACGCCTCTGACTAGTCCTAAGCTGTCCCTCCGAATGGTCTTAATAAGAATATTGTAAATAATATTGCTGGAAAACAACCATTAGCTACACATGGAAAGAAACTGGGACTCTGTCTCTCAGTCCCTAGAGTCCCCAGTTCAGTTTATGTCGTGCTTGTCCCAGATGCCCCATTTTAACCTCAGAAGTTCTGGGGGAGCCCATGGCTCCCTGAAAATAGCCGTTATTCTTGGCATTGGCTTTCCTGAGACAGCAACCTTGCTGAGATTACGAGCTGGCTTCCAGCAAGAATGTGGGGAGGCTGCCCGGGACTGCCCTGCCTAGGAGACGGTGTGCTGCTGGGGCCTCACAGAGTCCTCACGCACTGTGGTCATGGCCACTGTCTGTGTGATGGCTGTCTACCTGGCAGGGAGGGTGGGGAGGTGGGGACTCGCGTGGCCCGGTTTTCTTGTCTCTTCTGAAAAACAGCACTTTCTGGAGCTGCCCCAGCCCCACTCCAGGCACCTCCGTGTCTTGTTTCATCAGGGCATGTGCAGAGCAGGGCCTCTGCTGGCGTAGCTCTGTGTCCTGTGTTGCATGTGCACGTGTGTGTCAGATGGTGGCAAAATGGAGAGATAACAGGTTTACGACTCAGACAGATGTTTGAGTCCCAGTTCTGCCAGGTGCCTGCCGTGTGTGGCTGCAGTCAGATGACTTAATCTGCCCGGACCCCATTTCCTTACCTATAGGATGGAGGTAACAATCGCACCTCACAGAGACGTGGAAGCAAATGAAATAATATGTGTGCAAGCATTTGATGCAGTTGAAACCTTTGTGCAAATGCCTGTTACAATTACTATTAAAGGGCAGGAGCTGTGAATTTGGGTTTTACCCCTTGTGGATCCTTACACAGTGCTGGGCATGGAGCGGATGCTACACTGGTGGTTGTACTTGCTGTGGCCTGTGGTGTCCCTTGTGGCTTTTGAGAGCTTTTTCTGGCCTTTTGTGTGTCAGGAGGGTAGCTCTGCCATTCATCCCTCATTCGGAGCCCAGCTCCTCGCCTCCACTCCTTCCTCAGCCCTCTGCAGTCTGGGGTCCCCACCACCCCCACCCAGGCAGTGCTCCCGCCAAGGTCCACCCGCACCTTCCTGGGTGCCGGATGCCCTTCAGGCCCCAGCTATATCCCTGCCACTGCAGTTGACACTGAGATTCCTCTCTCCTTCTCGAGACTTTCTCCTTGGCTTTTATCACTTTCCTCTTTTCTGCTTTGCCTCAGACTTCCTAGCCGTTCGTTCTCAGTCTCCTTCCCACTTTTCCCTCCCTCTGCCTACCTCTCAATTTGCAGGATCCCCTGGGGTTTTGACTTGGGCTCATTTCTCCTCTCAATCTGTTCAAACCCACTGCCTCCGGGGTTCTCTGTCACCTCTTCCCGTTGGTTCTCAAGGTTGCCTCTCTCCTGGTCTCTGATCCCTGTCCACCCATTCTCTGCTCCCTCAGCGTGGACGTGGAACAGAGCTTAGCCTCTGCCCGCCTCCTGAGGTCCCTGCCCCAAGGAACACCACTACCATCTTCTGGTGCCTGGGTCTGAATGCTGCAGCCAACCTGATGCCTCCTCCCACCCCACCCCCCCGAGATCAGTCTTCAGGTCCTACCAACTCCACCTTTTAATATGAGTCAAATGCTCTGTTCTCTCTCCAACCCCATAGCCACTGCCTTAGTTTTCCTTAGCCAGGCATGAGTGAAGGCATAGAGTGAACTCTAAAGTGGACTGAACAGAGAGAGAAAGAAACAAGGAGGGAAAAAAAAAGAAAAGGAAAGATAGAAAAGGGGAAGGCTCATTGGTTTTCATTTTATCCAACTTCATGGACCGATTCTGTCCTGTTTATTTTATCTCCATTTCATTGTGAATATACAAGTATAACCCTCCTTCTAGGAGGTCCTGGGAGGTTGTGTTGGAAAGCTGGAGTGCAGGTTGGACAAGCAGTATTAAGGGATGCTATGCAGACGGGGTGTCTGGTCCCTGACTGAGCCGGGCTCCACTCTGCTTTCCCCAGGACCAGGGAATGTCTTCCCTCTGGTTCACTCTCTTTCAATGAACCTGAGATTCCGCAAATAGGAAACCTACATTTCCTCGAGCTGCTTGATGCCTTTCAATAGGCACTGTGTTTGCTCATCTATATCTTGAGAGAAGTTGGGTGCTGGTGTAGCTATATATACTGCAGATGGGGAGAGTGAGGCTAAGGGGAGTTTCAAGACTTGCCTGGCGGTGGAGCTGAGAAATGCAAACCTATCCTGCAGAAATAAGGAGGGTGGGTAAGGGCAGGAGATGGCGCTTGGCTGAATCTGCAGAGAAGGTAACGGAGCTGTTAATCTGAGCCAGGAAGGAGGACAGATTGCATTTTACTGGCTGCCAGGTACATGCGGGATGCTCTGTGTAGGTTATTCCATTGAATGTTCCCCACCTCCTGGTGAGATGGGTTTGATTCTCCTTTTACTGAATCTCAGGGAGGATGTCCAGCAGGTCAGGGGCAGACTCATGATTTCAGCACGGTCTGTTACACAACTAGGTCTGCACTGCCCCTTAGGTAGGGCTCCAAGCTGAGCCACAGTCAGCCTTTGCTGAGATGTTGCTGATTTAGAGGTTCTCTTGTGCAGGAAGAGAAGGACCAGCCCTGCCAGGATGGGAGGGGCAGGTGTCACTGGATGCAACTTGAGACATCATTATGTCTACTATGGGGGAGAAACAGGAAGGGAGATGGTCACCTTTTCCTGAGAGTTCTTTATCTTTCATATATTCATTTATGCATTTGCTGAACACCTGCTCAGTGCCTGGCACTGGAGTCTCACATAAACACATGACCTTTTCATAAGAGACCCTGGTTGCCTGGGAGAGGAGAGCCAACTGAAAACAAAGGTGGAAAAGAAGACAAAACACTCAATATCTATCTCAGGGGGCAACGAATTACAATTTGTGGGCTAAATCCAGCAGGTTGCCGGTTTTTA